CCCCGGTACTGCCAGGCCCCAGGTGCGAGGAGAGTCCCTCGGCCAGGCTGCTGCAGGAACCTTCTTCCCCATGAAAGGTCACGGACCTGCTGTCCACCATGTCCCCACTGTGCCCACCAGGCTTGTCCTCCTCGGCAGCATGTGGCACCCAGGCTCTCCCTGCCTGCTGCTGTGTGTCACCTGTGTTGTGATGTCCTCTGTGCCTGCGAGCCCTCTGCAAGTCCCCAGGTCTTCCCTGGGCTGTGCCTGGGTGCAAGCTTTGGAAGGGGATGTGCACCCCAGCACCCATGGGGCGACCAGCGGCCTGCTCTGGTCCAGGTGGCTCCCCTGCACCACTTACTTAAGGTCCCCCATCTCAATGCGCTCTGCTCAGGGCAGGTTGTGTGTGCCAGGTGGCACCTATAGGTCTGGCCCCATGCACTCCCCCAGCCCCACACACCACCAGCAGAGCGGCGATGCCCAGGGCTGCCACAGGGCATCACGCTGACATACTCCCGCCCGCTGGCATTACTCATCTTTAATTGCATACAAGAACAGAAAAAAAAAGGAAGTAGGTGACGGGGAGAAGAAGCTGCCCTGGCAAAGAGGAGACTGGGAATGGGGTCAGGGCTGCAGCTCACTGAGCAGTGCTGAGAGGAGGGAGGTGGCAGCCAGTGTGCCCAGGGTGGTGGCGGTGGTGGCAGCACTGCTTTGCAGGAAGGGCTCCGTGTTCCTCTGCAGCCAGGCGAACTCCTCCTCCAGCTGCTGCCGCCGCAGCTCCGGCCCCACGCGCTCCCGGATGGTCTCGTAGTAGGCATTCAGGTACTGGATCTGCAGCGGGGTTGCGCACCCTCTGGTTGTCCTTCTCCATTTGACCACCCTTGCATTGTCGCCTGACAGCCGTCCTAGCCCTGTCCCCTTGTCCCAGCCCGTGGGCCCTGCTGCATCCAGCCTTCCTGTGCCCCTTCACCTGCCCGGCTGTTTGCCCAACATGGTCCTGCTCACCCACCATGGTCACCTGCCCCAGCCCCATTCTCTTGCCCCCGCTGGCTCCATCCGCCACCCCATTTTCCCACTCCAGCGTGGCCCCATGTGCCCACCCTTGCCCTGAGCACCCGGTACCTGCTCCTTTGACAGGAGGTCAACATCGATGAGGTTGCGGTCATAGGGCACCAGGGACACCACCTCGAAGGTCAGGAATGGCTTCTCTGCAGTTTGGTGCTGCGGGAGGGAGACTGTGAGCCTTAGACCTGCCCTCAGAGAGGCCCCTCATCCCTCAGCTGGCACCGGGAGAGGTGACCAGAGCCACAGCCGAGGCCACCGTGGTGCAGCAGCCAACAGCCCTTGTCTCAGTGCTGGCTCACTTGGGCATTTGGTGCAAGGAGGGACACGTTACCTCAGTCTGCGCCTCCACCACAAGGGCAATGTCCTCGATGCGGATTCCAAACTCGCCATCCTGGTAATATCCAGGCTCTGATGGGGACAGGAAAGGTGCCCAACCAGTCGCAAGCCCCAGACCGGCCCCAGAAGAGAGCAGCAGACCACGGCCCCCTGTCTCCTCGCCTGGTTCCACAGCTCCAGGGCTGTCCCCAAGAGCGGATGTGCGGGCAGGACCTGTGTGGGTATACGTACCGATGGAAGTGAACATGCCCTTCGTCAGTGGTATGTTGTTGGACTGGAAGCCCACGGGCCCTGTGGAGGAAACGTGGTGGATTATGGCTCCTGGGAATGGCAGTTCCCGAAGGACCATGCAGGGAAGGGTCTTGACACGATGCAGCTGCTGCGGGGCAAAGAGCTGCATCACGCAGAGCCCTGCAGCCTGCAGGATGCTCACGCACAGCGAGAGAGATTTAGCCGAGCTCCGACGGGCTCTGTGTGACCCACCACCACCTCTGTCCCTCCTCAGCACTGCATGGGGCGGACCCAGGCTGCAGCGGGTCAGCAGCACCTACACTCATGGACCGACAGGAAGTTTCCGATGCCGTGGCCGGTCCCGTGGCCGTAGTTGAGCCCGACTTTCCAGAGTGCCTGGCGGGCAAAGGCCTCCACTGTTCTTCCTGCGGGATGGGGCCGCAGAGAGCTGGTGAGGGCACCCGCCTGCCCTGCTCTGCTCAACATCCTTGCAGGCCTGACCCACCGCAGGCCGCCCACACGTGGCCCAGCACCCACCTGCCGTGTCGGCGGGGAAGACGAGGCGGGACAGGTCAATGTTGCCCATCAGCACCCGGGTGTAGGCTTCCTGTGAGGGATGCGCAAGCGGCTTAGCACAACCTTCCCCCAGCCGCCCTCCTGGTGTGTCCTTCCCTAGCCCCTGATGGACCCAAGGCCAGGATCTGGGCACCACAGAGCGGTGCTGGGCAGCGTAGGAAGGGCTGATACCTTCTGGAATGGCGTTGGCACACCCCAGTGCATGGTGCGTGTGATGTCTGTCGTGCCGTCCCTGAGGAGAGGGGACCAAAGAGGGGCGACGTGGCCCCAGCATTGGCTCCGGCAGCCCCATTGCCCACAGCGCTGGGCACAGGCTGCTGTCACCCACCGGCCGCGCTGCCGGGGGCACAGGGAGGTGGGCGGCAGTGCTGGAGCTGACGGAGGCGAGGGGACAGCGCTACGCACAGGTATTGCCCTCCAGTGTCGGACAGGTACAACTCGTCGACAGAGAGCTGGCGGCTGCTCACGTTGGATGGGCTGGCAGGGAAGGCGGGTCACGCAAAGGGAGGCCTCAGAGCCCGCTCACCCACTCCCTGT